TTCTAGCTGAATTGTTATACCAAACTAAACATTTTACATTCTTGTAAAATAATATTTTATTTTTGTTATTAGGTTTAGAACATCTCACTTATTTGTTAACTATCAAACATCTGATTTTTGAAAAATTTTTATCAAACTTTGGACAAATGATGAGGAAAAAAGCCAATGTGAAAAAAGATCAACTCAGCATTTAGTTTAGAGGAAGAATTCATCTCAAATCACATTCATAGAAAATTAGAATCCTAAAAAGAAACACATTTGATTACAAGGCGAAGAGAGAGAGAGTCCAACGTAGTTAAAAATCAGTGATCACCTTATTTCCGACAAACCCTCATTGAATCGACTAGATCTTCATGCTGCGTCTTTTGTGACAGCTCCAATCGCATTACGCTATGTTAGTTCGAAAACTTCAGTTATTGGGCCAGTATTATGTAAGGGTATTGTTGATTTACTTGATCATGTAACAAAAAGATTTAATGAATATCAAGAAGATGATACAACTACTTTTGTTAATGAACATAATTTATATCATTCGTGTCAATATACATTAAATATCAAAGAAGATAATATTGAATTTAGGGAATTAACTAATAATAATGATACAATAAATATTGAAGTAAGTTCATTAGCTCCAACTATTTTTTATCAATTACGTGAAGATATTGGTATTTCCAATGAAAAATTTCGTACATCATTTTCTGAATATAATTTGAAAGATTTTACCAATACAGGTAGAAGTGGTTCATTAATGTATAAAACATATGATCAATTATTTATTCTAAAAACTTTACTTGATTATGAAGCACGTTTATTATTGCAAATTTTATCTGGTTACCATTTACGATTGCGACAACATTCAACATTACTGAATCGTTATGCTGGTTTATATTCATTGCGTATAAAAACATTATCATCTAATATTATAACTTATGTAGCTATTACAGTTAATGCATTTACACCATCATTAAAAATTAATGAAATATTTGATTTAAAAGGTTCAAAAATGAGACGAAAAATAACTGGATTTTTATCAACGGAAAAATTTTACAAATTAAAAGATGTGAATTTTACAGAATTATATCCAGATGGTATACGTATACCAACAATTATTTATCAAAAATTAAAAACTATTATTGCTAATGATGCTAAAGCTTTAAGAAAACTTAATATAATGGATTATTCTTTATTACTTGGAATCAGACATTTAGATATGTCTAAAGCAGAAATGTTAGAACGTCAAAATAGCATAGGAGTTACAGCTCTTTTTCAAGTCACTAATAGTCTTGCATCAAAGCAAACAGAAACTCCAACTGTGTTTATTTCATCACCAACAGTTCTCGAATCTGATACAATATGTTTACCAAATTCATATTTAAAACCATTAGAAATTCTAAAAGAAAAAACTTATATGAATTTATATTATAGTGATGGTTCCATTGCTCTCGCAACTTTACCCATTCCTGGAATTATAAATGGAACTAATAAACGTGTCTATATTTATTTAGCTTTGATTGATATCCTTCAAACATATGATGCTCCTAGAGTTCTTGATCACACATTTCGAAAACTTACTGAACCTTCTACGTATCTTGAACATTCTCTTATACCATCAAATGAATATGAACAACGTTTTCATAAATTTTTATTTAAGGATATTTTTACTGATGCTCAGGATGATTTTCCATGGACTTTAACGTGATGTTAATAAATCTGTTGCAAGTATTAAGGATGAAACTATGAATAATAACAAAACCTGAACAAAATAAAAGTGATACGCACTAATATGACTATCGCGTTGAACAAGAAAATTTACAGATTGTACATGAGCATAGTTTCTAACTTTCTTTTCTCTATAATAAATACAGATTATTTGTCCTTTTTTTTAGTCTTTCTCTTCATAATATTAACTGAATAAACTAGATAACGAAAACATGATTAACTAAAATACCAAATATATTTTACATATAGCCAAAACAGACAATTTTTACAAGTTCTTTGTAAATATCTTACTATTGAAAATAGTAATAAGTTAATAAATCATAATTTGTATTCTTCTCCGTTGGTCGAACTAACTGATGATTATCAATTTCACAAGTAATGAGGCTCATTTGGAAAAGAGTCACAATCGTGAAGTTTTTCAATGGATGCTGCTGATATGATATAGAATGTTGTAGAAAACTGACCAAACATCATTCAAATAGACTACAACGCTCAAGTTTTTCATTTATAATCTTGAGATAAGTCTCACATTTTCTCTAAAATACCTTGATAATTAGCATTCGGGCCTGATGAAATTACAATGTACTGTGGGTGTAGGTGTAGTAGAGACAGTGTGAGTATGGGTGTGATAGGATAGGTGTTGGGGTGAATGTGATAGATGCGGTGTGGATGTGTGTGAGTGTTGGTTTGAGTGAGAGTGTGTGTATGGATGTTGATAGGTACGTTGTGAGTGTAGCTGTAGCTGAGTAGGTGGGTCTGGATGCATTAGTGACACTTCAAAATCTGATCTCTCTACACCGTCATCAATCCCATCCCACATCCACCCCACACCTACACTCACACCCACGTCCCACACCTATATCCACACTCTCGTTTAATTTTTGTCGCCATCTAGTTAAATACTTTTTCATAAAATACTTTAACTTTCATGCTCACTTAAGTTATATATTATTGTCAACTCTTATTATATTTCTTAGCATTTGTAACAATATTGTACGTTCAGGGATAATGCAAAGATTATCGAAAGAGAATAAAGATTGCATGATCATTTGTTAAATGTAAGCAATTATTCTTATTTTAAGTCAAAAGTCACTTGGACTCAGCCCATTCGGATCTTTGATTGAAGCATTTTAGGACTAATCCCTACCATTTCATAACCAAGCTCTTTGATTAGTAACGACGGCTGATGATAGAATCATTATTATTATAGAATTTAAAACTTTTCTCGATTTTTCATATGCGAATTTATTATCGATTCTTATCTTATCAGTTATGTTCGCCTTCTTACTATGAGATATAGTCATGAAAAACGTATATAACATGTGAAAATTATTGTATCATAGTATTGGTTGATGACAAAAAGTATGGGTGACACAAAGTTGTGCATATAAAGAAGAATGAAAATATGAACAATAACATAAAACAGAACAAAAAAAGAAAGAAACATAAGCTCATTCCTTATCATTTGCTCTACTCTTTCTCTCATGTACAACACTACAGAGTGAGCATATAGTATTGACATCTTTTTTATCCACATTCTACCCACCTGATCATGACATTAATGTGCTAACTCATTTATGTACACCGATCAATTTTCAACATCCATCATACAACTTGAGGCCATTATGTAGATAGAGAAAGACATGTGTACACTCAGTTACTTATTTTGACTCAGATCGGATATTATTTCATTCAGATATCAGCGTAGAGACGTAGAAGATGAGATAGTATATTCTGATTTTTCGATATATACGCTGTCACATCTAATTAGTACAAACAGTCTTAATAACTCATGCATATTTAGTGAGATCCTCATATGATTCTTTCAACTGTGAATTGAAAAAAATAATAAAAGAACATTTTCATCATCAGCATTTGATGTTTTATAACTATTTTTCTTTACTCAACGTCCATAAAACAACTGCTCTTGTTTCTTTATTCAGTCAAGAGAAGACTTTGTGCATAAAGGATAGGATCAAGAAGTACAATTTTTTCTTTCATTGTTTTTTTTTGCAAATTACATAAAGTGTTTATTCTTAGGAGATGGAAATACAATTGTTACCAAATGTACTTTTCTGTGATATCTTCGATTATCTTAGAGCTGTCGATCTCCTTCGTGCTTTTCATGGTCTCAACAAACAAATTAACGATCTCATTGTGCCACACCGAGCTATTTCATATCTCGATGTTTCACTTGGTGTCGAAGATCGTTTTTGACGAAATTTGTCGCTACCATTCGTCATTTGTGTTTTCTTGCGTGACATCATTATCTCTATCGAACAATCATGAACACCATGAATGAATTGGTCTATTTATGAATCATATACAGATGATGGGTTCGCGCATTCATTTAAGTTCTTTATCATTATCGCATGTTCATCCGAGAAAACATTAAAGTTTTTGACAATATTGAGTGATCTTCAAGATCTAAATCGGTTCAGTTGCATGAATGGTTTCGCCGGTCGGAATCAACTAAATTATCAGCATCTAGTTGATATATTATGGTGTCTACCAAAATTATCCGTGTGTCAATTGGACATTCACTCGAGCGAACTAGCATATTTTCCATGGCCAATTACTGCTTTGTCATCGTTAGAAGGATTGTTCATTAAAGGTATTCCCTTTGGACAGAATAACATAACTCGTCTATTTTAATTGACCATAACTCTTTGATCTGTATCTATCCAAGTTCAAGATCATTTTTACAATCATCAGTTGATTCCACCAATATTTACGTTGACAACCTTGCATTTATCATTCCAAGGTTCTACATCTGTTTTAGTTAATCTAATTCGGAGTGTTCCTAATCTGCATCATTTGAAGATATCTATTCGACACACTAATTTCAATGGGTCTCAATGGGAATGATTGATTGTTGATCATGTATTAGAATTGAAAAGCTTCCGATGAAAATGTATTTCTACGTTTCGAATGTAATTATCTCGGAAAAAAAATCGACCGACTAATGAACACCTATCGAACTCGATTTTGGTTTGAAGATCGCCGCTGATTCGTTCATCATTGACGATGCGCCCAAGGACTTTTAAGCTCGTTTTGTATTCACACATTTCCTTATGCGTTCGATGTGTCCATAAATACGAACGCATTTCAATACATAAACAAGAGTTCACAAAATAGTCGTCGTGCATTCAATAACAATGTGAGCACATTTGTCTATAATTCAAAAACTTCGTCAGAAGTCTTGCACAACAGTGCTCGATTCTTAAATGTTCATACTCTATCATTAATTCTTCCATTTAATTCCAAATTTCCATTTATCGTATCACAACTCCATCATTTGGCTTTGCTGACTGTTTCGTCGCCCGAATGTTGTATCAAAAGTGTGTTACAATTAGAAACATTGATTGATCGAGCTCCAAATCTTCGTTCCCTATTATTGTCACGATTTATTTTGCCAAAACATTCACATTGCTGTATTCATCGCTAGGTTCGCAAAGTCGTTGTTTAACCACTGAACCATGTATTATGCTAAGTGGTTCACCGTTAACTTTCCGTTGCGATGTATCTCATATCGTGGTCAACACTTGTAACGATGTGCTTCATCTGATTCGTAATCTGAAAAATTTGAAGGGATTAAATGTTCAATATCGAGATAATCATTCGAACGATATCAATCTTTTCAACGCATCAAATCAGGACGAACTCCTCCAGTTGTTTCAACAATTTTTACCATCAGCATCGATTATCAGTCAAGATGAACTTTTCAGTAATCAACTTTATATTTGGATTCGCTAATCGGAATAAATGAAGAGTTATGTATAATTGAGCTATGCCAATTCAATACTTTATCCTTATTCGTTTGTTCATATACATAATGTTCATTATAAGAACAAAAACTCCACCTATCTAACCCAGCTGTACTTAGAAAAGAAAGGTCTCGATTGAAATCAATCATATTATTCCCTTCATGCTAAATACTATTCTGAACAAGGCCTACATAGCTCATTCGGATCGTAGGGTCCAATTATTCAAAGAACTGTTACGACAAAAACAAGAGTAAAGATTATTCATTGATAAAAATGCAGTTGTTTAAATTTCATGAAGCATGAAGTCATGGTCTTTGCCATCATGATTTCTGTTTCAGACGCCGAAAAACTGACAAGATTTGATGAAATCAGTATTGGAGAAATATGTATTGACGCAATGGCTAAATTTTAATCACTATTGTTCATATCGCGATTTTCAATTTAAATTTTATGAAGAAAATTGTTGTGGTGTGATGAGAGGGAAGGGATGAATGTGGGCGTAAGAGATCTGTAGAATAAGCTTTTTCCACTGTGAATCCAGCTCCTAGAAGTTTTTCTTTAAGAAGATAAGTGTTGATAAAATACCCATGCGTACTAACACATCAAAGTGCATACCTACATGCACAAAAACTCTCATTCCATGAGAAGATACAATTGATTGTTATACTTACAAAGTAGAAGTTACTACATATCACGAAAAATATTACAAAATCGGAAAAATAACAAATTAGTCAGCCAACATTTATAATAGCTTTATAGTTTGTTAGATTCAAATTAGATACGTTTTCTCAGAAAGATTGAATAGAAGTGTGAGTGTCACTCACTCTTCGGATAACTGAATGCGATGATGAAGACCGAAAACTATCCTTCAATTTCGTTGAAAAAAAGCTTGGTGAATTTATGAGAGGAGCACTATCTTGCTATTCCTTTGAAACTTCAAAAAGAAAAAATTTGTGTAACTAAGACTACTGAAAATATCTATGTCAAATGCAAATAATGTTCATCTGGTACAACCATCGATGGTAACGGAATAATGTCCGCGGTAGTATAGTGGTTAGTATCCCCGCCTGTCACGCGGGAAACCGGGGTTCGATTCCCCGCCGCGGAGTAATTGTTTTTTTCTGCTCTTCTATGATGAAATACACGTTTAAATTATGGTTCCTCTTATTTCGTCAACTAGTCGCAATGTTCTACAACATTTGTACGCAGAAAT